AATAAAATAATGCAATACACTACATGGGTTTTGGAACCTCCATCGTTGTTTGCTAATATATAAACTTCCCTTCCACAAAAACCTGTTGAAATGTCATATTTATTTCCACCCTTTCCAGATGTCCCTGTTTTTATAAAACTGCCAGCCCACAGTAGGAGAGTTGAGAGTCATGCTAAGCCATGGCTTAACCATTAATTATTGGCTGGAGTTCATGAATGCACTAAGCCATAAGCCAAGGTATACAAACCAGAGTGGCTGGGTTCACATATTGTACTAGACTAGAAGGAGAGGGGTATGGTTTTGATCTAGTATGCTGGGTGAAGCCAGTCAATTTAAGGACAGGGAGATTGCATTGTTCATGGCAAGAATTATAGCAGAAAAACTAGCTGCAGTCTAAATGCTGGTATATAAGACTAGTATGTGAATGGCATGCACTGAGTGTGCGTGGGTGGCATGAATGCAGCCAATCTAGAGTTGAGGAATGATCACCAAAAGGGTCTTGCACGCAAAAGAGAAAAGACCTGTAGCCACCCATTTGTTCTATTTAATGTGTTCGGCTCTCCCTGCTCCCCGTATGCATTAAACCCCATTAGCAACACAAGATTGTATGATTTACAATTTATTTCCTTAATGGATGAAAATGAAATAAAACCAGGAAGAGAATGTTTATAATTGCATAGAAGCATTAAGCTGTAAATGTTTGTTTTAAAAGCGTTCTGCCGAATGGATTGTTTAAAAAAAGTGCACGTAAACTTTTTATAAAGTGGGGGGGAAATAAAATGGATCTAAAGCAGTTTCTACATGGAGAGTATTTGGGGGGAAGACTCTCTAGTACCACAATACTACAAATATGTTCATTACACATCATAGGCTTGAGTGAATCTGGCAAAATCAGATTCAAATATTTGATTGAATTCAGAAAATCAGTTCAGTTCAGTTGGGCAGTTTGAATCAATCCAGTTTGGTGTGGACAACCCAGCTGAGTCGACCCGAATGTCCATGATTTGGAGAAAGCCCTTTTTGGACATGTGCAAAAATATCCAGATGAATGAATGTGCAGCGTTCCGTTCTGTTTGATCGTTTGGATCCCTTTTGAATCAAATATTCCTACAGCCCTAATCCTCCAGACATCCCAAGGTTCTTCTGCCAACCGCTTGAGAGCACCTGGCCCTAGCCAAGATACGCCAGCAGGTTGACCCATTTCAGGTGACAACACAAAGTTGGGGGCATTCAAAAGGAGAGAGTAAAGAAAGGTAGAAACTGGCTCTGAATGGTGCATCAGAAGCAGCTGGCCTTAACGGTGAGGAAAGGGAGTAGAGTAAAGGATCGGCTTATTTGAGCTGCAGGAGGAAGCACGCGTGGTTAATGTCTGTGCTCCGTTCTGCAGTCTATTGCCAGACCCTCCGGAAGAGCAGCGGCTAATGCAGAAACTGCTGATGGCTACAAATTATCATCGACGCAGGGACTCTGGTTTACCCAGTAAAGCCCTGAGTTCCCCATAGCTGCTCGGTTTGGTTGTGCGTGGCTGTTGTGTGCTTGCTTGCTTGCTCGCTCACTTATTTATTAATTATTTAAATATTGATCAGGCTTGCAATACTGCCATATTTCATAAATAGCTCCTGGCAATTAATGGTGCAATGCAAGTGCAGTAAAGTGTCCACGGTAAGCCAACATTTCAGCTCAGTTCAGGGACTTCAAGTAACCAGGCACTGTTTTACCTGCCAGTCTGTACGTGGTAGGATTTTTTAGAAAAGTAATCTTGAAACGGTGCATTGTTCTGAAACGCATTCCTTTGAGCTCCTTACTGTCATTCTCATCATGAGTTGTTATTATAATATGTTACAGTTATGTCAGTACAAAAGAACCAGCTTACAACAAAGTAAGTAAAGTAGCTGAACAATGCTATGGTGTGTCAAATCTGAACAAATGACTGTTTTCCACATGCCGCCATGTTCATGCTGATTCCCCTCACCAGAAATGATTTATTCATCTTGCTAGAATATACAAACGATCTGAAAGGTAATGAGCTAGAATTCACTGTCATGTTTACCTTACCTTAATCTGTTAGACTTACCTAATCAATTCAATTTACCTGATTGTAAAATTACCCAAGTCAGAGTCTAAGACTGAGCCTCAACTGCTCCAAAGCTGTGGAACGAATTCTCTGGGAATGGCATCCCCACACGCAAACAAAGCATGTTGGGCCAGCTCAGTCCGTTTGATGCATTCAATAAACCATTATTAAGCAAATCGTTCAGCAAATTATCACCATGATTTGTGCAGCAAGTGACCGAATCCACACTTTTTACCCTAACCCAACAGGCCGGTTTTAAATCAGCCCTAACGCTCAGTTGACATGTTTCTCCCAGCAAGATTCATTCAGTTTCTTTCACGGACATCCACGGAGAGGCTGGGGGTGGGGGAAGGATTAAATGTGTGTGGTGGTGTCATCCTGATGATGTCATCATGCAATGCCACGGGTTTTGGCCACGAGGCAAGGGCATCACGGCCACTTGCAGCGGGCACCGCTGGCGGCCTCGTTTTGTGACTGAGACTGCCCAGAGATAGATCTTGCCCCAGCAGCTTGCCATCTGCCACGGATGTAGGGACTGGAAAAGCAAACCTAAAAAGGTTAGCAGAAGAGTCGTAGAAGGAGAAAGCAAAGCTAACTAGGGATGCACGTGAGCAAAGGCACTTCCGCACACATTCGTTGAATTTAACCTAATGGGTTAGAAACAAATCACCAACTATTTTCTGCCGGCCTGTGTTTCCAATAGTTCATGCACGGATTTGCCTTGGCCCCTTATGTGATCAGTTTATTCAAGTATGAAAAATGTATTTAAGATGAAATTACTGTGATGCTGAAGAATTAGCACAATAGGACAGGGCAGCAAGAACATTTTATTACAGCCTGACATGAGCAAAGTAGGCCCTCCAGTCCATCGGGAGGCTGTTTCTCTTTTATTTAAAAGAGAGAGAGAGAGAGAGAGAGAGAGAGAGAAACGGCTTTGTAAAATTCCATTGTGCTGTACATAATTTACAGCAATGTTTGATTCTAAAATTGCCACTAAACTACCACCTGCTGTCATAGCAGAGACAGCTC